ATGTAGATTTCCCGTGAAACAACCAAACAAATCAAATTAATACGATCCAATCGTGGTAGTTATTTATGTTAAAATAACATGAGTGAAAACTAACAATATTAATTTTGCCATTGACGACGCCACAAGAAATAGGGAGAGCTGTGAGCAGACGCAGTAAAGAAGAGTAGGAAGGACGTCTTCGTTGAAATGTTTGACTTCAGGAGTTTTTTTTATCGGAGAGACAGTACGTCTCTTGACCAACGTGAATTAGGAATGCGTGATGTCGGACTGTCGATGAGCTGAGCGGTGTAGAGAGTGTAGGGAGATGCAGACTGAGTACGTCCAATTTGTTTTGAAATTATCATCTCAAAGGGTTAAACTTAAACGATAGAAAGTAATAATAACTTTTAACATTAACATTAAATAAGAAGGTCCTTTTCAGGGCTGAGATCAAAGGATCTAAAGCATGTTGGAAATTCTGCTATGGTGGGAAACGGGAGTACCACGAAAAAACCCACTTTCACGGCCAGGACTTGATAGGTGGAGGGAAGAGTGATTGTGTCTGTTGTGAGCTGGAAGTTGAACGTAGGAATCTTTTGGTAGTCAGCAACTTGTTCTTCATTGATCTGAAGTTTTTTTATCTTTCCTGATGATCTGGGTTTAAGTATGCTAGCAGAAGGTTGAGTGGTTGTCAGTGTAAGTTGACGAGTCGGCTAAAGTGAAACGTGTAGTTTAAGTCTGTGCTGTAGTTGTCGATTGTTTCTTGACTTGTGGAGTCTGGGTGAATTTCGTACAGATGCTTGTCGTTTTCGTCTGTGTCGGTCTGAGTAGAGTTGTTCTTGACCTGTGGAACAAACTGAACCACAGAATCCTTAGGTTTTTAAATATGTGACACCATTTTTCTTTTTACGCACCCTAGTGACATCAAACAGTAATACACCAAAACATTTTTGTTTGTGTTCAAAGCTACGCAACTGTTATGTGCGCTATGCCCACCGCAGGGATAAGACCCCTAATTTTAACGTTATATTTGGTCAACACAAAAATGTATCAAACAGTGACTACTAATAATTAATATTATTCATATTTTTATTCATGTTTCGATTTCCCAATAGTAGTATTATTTCCTATATATTTCTTTACGTCATTATTTTATCTAATTCCCATCCAGTTTTGTTTTTCTATCCTATGAAAACTGTTTTAACACCCTTTTTAACTCTCATCACTCTTACGTCTTTCAACCCGGCCTGGCCAGGTGGTTAGAGCGCTCGACTCGCAATCTGTGGGTTGCGGGTTCGAATCCCCGTCCCACCAAATATACTCGCCCTTTCAGCCGTGGGGGCGTTATAATGTCATGGTCAACCCCACTATTCGTTGGTAAAAGAGTAGCCCAAGAGTTGGCGGTGGGTGATGATGACTAGCTGCCTTCCATCTAATCTTACACTGCTAAATTAGGGATGACTAGCGCAGATAGCCCTCGCATAGCTTTGCGCGAAATTCAGAAAAACAAACTAATCAATCGTTAAAACAAAATATCAATGAACACGTCTCATCAAGACCAGACTTGTACACTCCACAATTCCCGACTACTATTACCAACGATACCACTTCAACGCATGTACACGACATCTTTGAAAGACAAATCACAACGGGTGAGCTTAAAATTAACTTAGCAACGCTAAAAAAACTCCTCCCCGGACAAGATGAGATAAGAAATATTAGCTTAAAAAACGCCTCAAGCAACCTTCCCTGCCATCTTCTAAATAGCATGAACCTATCAGGATACTTCCCCGCTATCCGGGAAAAAAGGTAGAATCAGTCATCCCTAAAACATCACCAGAAAGCTCCAACCCTGACAACTTCAGGCCAATAAGTCTACTAAGCTGCATAAGTGAAGTTATGGGAAGAATTATTTCCAAAAGATTACTCTTTTTCTTTTTTTTTTTGTGAAAACAATAAGCTAATCCCCAACATACAGAACTCTTCACGAAAAGGACGAGTTTAGCGCCCTAACCACCTGGCCAACGATTGATTAAGTGTTGGGGAGTTGATGTCTGAAAAGGAATTGGTGTAATAATTGGTGTAGTTTTTGCAGTTATATTGTTGTATTTTATGTGTTGAAAAAAATTGTTGTTATTTTTTTTCCTCTGTGAGCGATTTGAATTTCTTCCAGAAATCTCTGGGTTGATCGTTACATCCGTCTAGTGAGTGATAAATTTCTCCCAGTTTTCATTTCTTAAGATGATAATGTTACGTTTAATTAGTGCATGTGTCCTGTTAAGTTGCGGTTTTAATGTTTGATCTATTGTGGTTATAAAAAGTCGTTTGAGTCTTCTACGTTCTTTAATGAGTTTGTGTATTTCTGGTGTTAACGTCCGTTGTTGTAAAGAAAGGCTCCAAGACATTTTTTTCCCCTTTCTTTGATGATGGCGTCTCTTTATATAACGGCTTTTGTAACACTGGGCATTCATGAAGAAATAGCATTTTCATACTAGAAATGTTTATTTGCAGTGAAAAAAAGGAACCATTAAATAATTCGGATTTTTTTTCGTCCTTTGGCAATAAGTTACACATGAAACGAGTTACACTTTGGACCAAAAAGAACACCCACTTCCAGACCTGGCTACGGGCTTGCTGTATATATACATATTACATTGCACTCACTAACCATAAGTCCATATTCTCCTGAAGGATCACATACAGGATCACACACAATAGGTGCAATGAATGTTTTTTATCAGACTTACTTTCGTTACAATTTACCCGTATTACAATTTATTAAAGTCTCTTCAATACGTTTAGTTATATATTCATGTTATTTTGTTTCTGGTTTAACACATTAGCTTCAGTGTTTTCACATTTATTTAATTAAGACACTTGCTTAAAACCTTAAATGATGCAAGATTAGTTCTTCAAAACTGGAGAAATCAGATTGCTCACCAATATTTGTTTCGAGTTTTACCAAGTGAATGCTTTAGTAGTGCCATCTAGGCGTAGATATAGATAATAAAACATATAATCTTGCTGGTTAGGATATTTATGCAATTTTTTGAATATTAATTATACAAATTTAGCATGCTTTTAAAATATATGTCAAGTTGTATTATTAATTCCTCTACATATTACCTAGAGCTTTCAGAGATGTATAATAAATATATTTTACAAACGTATGTTCATACAGTAGTAAGGAGTAAATATAACATATACATGCATCTTATCAGAAAATTTACATGTTAAAAATAAATTTGAAATATTCTATATGAACGTGGTGTGAAGGAAATTCAATTAATTTAAGACAATGCCTTACCTTTGAATTCAGAAAGTTGCCTCTTGTGACACATATAATTTCACCACTTGGTGATAAACATTACCTTTTTTTTCTTGTTCTTTTATTAGACTGCACTGACACAGCATTTAAATTAAACAGTATTCCAAGATGTTTGGTTTGAGGCTAGAGTTTGCTAAAATTAGTGCAGCTAAAATGACTGGATGAGAAAAATAAATATTTAAATCATTGGATTGACTCTTGTGATCATTCTTCCAAAACATATTGGATTCAGGTAAATACAGAATATTTGACCTTTAATTTACCGAAATACAATAAATATGTTCAAGAATGTATGAATATTATATATATACACAAACACACGTATGTGCATACAGATTTGTTCATATGTTCAATTGCTTTAAAATGCAGTCAAAACGTATTGAGTTTGAAACAATTCGCTTGATGCATGAATATGTTTTAACCAAGTCGTGTCATGTTCTATACACATTAATTATTAAAATTATTAATATTTTGTTCTATGTTAGCCACAGAGCTACACAATGGGCTAGCTCTGCTTTACCTATCGTGGGTATTGAAACCCGATTTTTAGCCGCGTCATAGTGGTTCATAGAATGGCACTTGTTTTTGTTTTGTTTTTCAGGTACAAAATTTTACTTCATAACTCCATCTCTTGACCGATTTGAGATCTAATTACAGCCGCGGCTGTTGAGGATTCCCTCTTGTTAGTGTTAAAAGCTCTCAAGTTGACCGCTCAGCCACAGAGGGATTAAAAATATGTCAATCATATACGAGTTAGGTCTAAGAAGATTAGTTGACGGTTCGCAATGAATGAAAATTAAAAACATTACATTGTTTGCCAGAATCGATGGAGTGTTCATTCAAGTTTACTATTTTCTTAGATAATATAATAATAAATATATTGTACGAACTGTTCGCGTCTACGTGCTTTTATCGGAACATCAGTATCAACAAAAGAGATGCAGTAGTAAGGTTCATTGTGTTACAATATGATTAGTATACTCTTCACGTTTATATTGTTTTTGAACATCAACATTCAAAATGTTTTATTACAATATTCATGTGTAACTTGCAAATGGTCACGTTTTCCCAGCTTTCATGAATACCATAGTTACAGCATTCCCTTAGTGGCTTATCTGCGCTGTGCCCACCCTGGTATTTAAATATCGAATTTAACATTATAAGCCCTCAAGCTTACTGTTAAGCCACGAGGGGGCGTTAATTTTATTACTGCTTTAATTCGCTCTTTGAATTTCTGGATAAAGCTATTCTAGGCCTGTCTGTGGTAGCTGTCCCTAATTTTGAGGTGATAGACTAGAGGGAAAAACAGCTAGTCAACATCACCCACTGCTAATTCTTTGGCATCACTTTGCCAACGAATAATGCCATTGACCGTCACTTAAAACGTCCGCCCACGGCTGGAAAAACGATCGTGGTCGGTGACGAGTTTCAATCCCGTGACGCGCAGATTGCAAGTCAAGCGCCCTAACCATCAAACCTACGCTTTCCGTTTATATGATATTTAAAGTTAGTGAATTTGATATTTATGTTTGTTTTTGAAATACACACACTCGCTGTGGAGAAACAATTATCAATTTATTTTATTCCTTAACAATTATAGGCCACTCCAAACCAAATAAAACTATTAAGTAAACAAAATGTACCGAAGCTACTACCCAGTTTTAGGGTCGAAGCACTATTTACCAGAGCAAACAATCTTTTGACAAAAATGAAATTCATTAGTCTTCCCCCCCCCCCTTTACCGTGGGTTTTAAGAAATATTATGTGAAACGTGACGTCTTCATTAATATATGAACTTAAAGGTTCATTGGTTTTCAATACACATATACCAGGGAAAAGATTGTTGTATTTAAAAACAAGAATAATGATCAAGAATGATTGAATTCAACATCAGACGAACTCCACTGTTTTCAGGTTTCTAGCGAAGAACTTTTTGATGTATTATCACAAGTGCTGTTTAACTACTAGCAATAATTACCCAAACTAATAACGTTCTGACCACGTAAAAAAACTTGTCTACATTATCTTAAGTTACTGAAAATAGTTATTGTGGGTAAGGAGTAAGGTTTCACTGAATATTACACCAAACACCTTTATTACACCTTATAATTTAAACAATTCTAACTTTTCTAATAAGCTTCCAGGAAAAGAGAAGTAAGTGTGAATGGCTGATCGTAAGACTTGATTAAATAAGCCTCACTATATATTAACGGACTACAAGGTAAATGTCAACTGGCCAGTATATATATTTACTTATAGCTTCGCTGACCAGGACTGGGATGATTAATAATGTATATTAATAACCAACTATATTGTTTGAAAGTCATTATCGAAGAACTAAAGCGAAATCCTAGTCTAACAAAAATTTAAGCGAATTCAGCACGATGACTTGTATACAATCAGTATCAGTGATGAATTTCCCATGAATGAAAATTTTGTCTCGAATGATATTTTCGAATAAAAACTACCATTTCTAACTTCATTTCTTATATTTTAATAGCAGACTGAATAATACGAAGAGTCCTCATTAGCCTGGTATGTTCCATAACCGTCATCCCCATTAAGATTATCACAGTCTGTTGGTCTCCTAAACATGCCTAGGTCACTTGTTGGCTCTCGTTTTAACCTACAAGATGGCTGATTATTACGATTTAAAGTTTCATACAAATGAGTGTCAACAGCAGAACAGGACATTATACTGGCATTTCCCCATGTTTTACCCCAATTCTTCTCTACCTCTTCACATTCCCCTTCTCTCACCATCTGTAATGTTTTCGACTTCCGAAAGCTCCATAGTTTGCTTAAAGGATTGCTAAACCTGGAAGAAGAGGAGGATCGTGTGGATCCTAAGGCCGACTTAGATTTCATAGATCCTCTTTCTGAAACAAAGTCTTCGAAGTTCATGGAAATACTTATTGATTGGGTTTCAAGTTCTTTTTCGAAATTATTTTTACATCGTTTGCTGCTTCCATCGGAAGACTGCTTATTCTCTGTTTGTTTAAGATGTTGAACCACGTGATGCGTAACCTTAATCTGCTTCTTCCAGTTATCTGCTTCTTCAGCACAGAATTTTAACATCTGTTGATAAATACCAGAGCTTTGAAAATGGAGATCGTCGATCTTTTTAACAAGTGAAAAACTAGAATCAAGATCTATTTCCACCAAAACTGGTTCACCATTTCTGAAAGTACATGCAAGGATCACATCCTGTTGCTTAACTTCCTGAAGATGAACAACACCAGTAAAGTTGCTTGGAAGCTTTAGCTGGCTGCCACCTATCAGTCGAGCTGTAAGGGGCAACTGGAAAACCCGAAGTAGATTGGGCAACAAGAAAATGTGATTGATGGAATAAGATGAACGACGAGCTACGGCGTAAAATTTTCCAGAGGTAAAAAATGGTATGAACAGTATTTCTCCCATCTGAGTGAAACACTTAGCATACTTTCCTCGGTTACTATCGTTCCAGTTTCGTCCACCTAAACTTCCTTTGGACCTTGAACTGATGTCCTCGTACACTCCGAGTAGCTTCAGAGCTTGACCACCAGGAACCTATAACAACAATGTAAACAACTTTGGATCATATCAGCACATCTTAAAACACCTAAAAATTCTATCTACCATTATCCTGAAATTAAAAGATATTTTTGCTCTATAACCCAGTTAAAAATGATCAGATTTTGATAAAACTCTGTGAAATGTGCAGAATATTATTCCTGTAGTGCCGAAGATGGTTCGTGTCCGTTAATAACGATGGACACTATTTAGTTTTTTTTTTTTTGTTGAGGGCCGAATATGATCAACGCTGCGTGTCCCTCTAGTTGTTCCTGTAACTAGTTTGCAATTTTCTCACATTAAAGATATAAGCATTAATAATGATTCACTTACAGAAACCTTTATATAAACGGATTTTCTCTCGATGTCTCCAGGATCTGGAAGTTGATATCCTGTGATACCGTTCTTCGTAACGAAGAGAGGTACACGAGCACGTGCTACTTGTTCAATAGTAGTAAAATAACCAGCTGTATGTCCATCGTTTGAGATGACAGCTAGCCAACCTAATGAAAAGAGAAAAACTGATTAAAGAGTTAAGTGTGAAATGATTCATGAATAGATTGCTGTAGAAAATTTGTATCGATTCGGCAAAGAAAACGGTAAACAGCTTAATCGGAATAGGGAAGGAAAGTATATTAATCTGACTTTTAATCACCATTCAAGAACTTTCCGAGTTTCTTCTGATTTAAAATAAACGATACGTACGGCTGGGCTCTAAAGAATCTTGCACGTCGCCTTCTATTAAAATATTTTGAAATATCCCAAATGTTTCGGTGTTAAGAATTTTGTATCACGTATTTCTTAGAATGATCTCTTACTATAAGAAAATAGATATTTGTTATGAAACAATGAATCTTGTACAGTTCTTCTCGTTTGGAATGATTTCACCATTAGCTATTTAATAGTGGCACCTCAAGCTGTTTTCAAAAGCTTCTACAATATCGTCAACACTGCAGGATACATCTTACAAACCTTGTATGGCACTCCATTAATTATCAATTCTCTTAGCACTTGCCTGGATTTCACTACATCTTGGCTCGGCTAGATCAAAGGCCTCTGTAGTTAAACAATGTCAAATAACACCTGTCACATTATAACGCCACCACGGCTGAAAGGGCGAGCGCATTTGATGTGTCAGGGATTCGAACCCGCGACCCTCAGATTGCGAGTCGAGCGCTCTAACCACCTGGCCATGCAGGACCTTTTGAATGGTGGTCTCCCGGCGAAAGATTCAGTTCTCTTGCAATACTGAGAGCCGGAAGGCAGTTCTTTGAGAAAAACACAGCCGAAACTGCCTATCTCACTGGTTGAATTATATCTAGGGGCCTCAAAGCCCTCCCCCCCTCCCCATCCAGACCTATATGGCCTCGACAATAATTATCAACACTGGTCAATGCCACATTTTGCTCCACGGGCCCCATGAGGTCTAATTGCACTGCTGAACATAAGTTGTATCATCATGTTATAGGTAACGCCTTTGTAAAAGTGTAAAATTATGATGTTGTTACCCTGACAAAAATAATAATGATTTACGTCTACCTTTAGGGATTATATCCTGATCTAAAATTATAACTTTTCTCTCGCGTGTTTACCGTTGTAAATGATCTAAAATAATGCCACCTGGTGGATAACTATTGTAGACTGATATATACATATGCAGACGTTCTTTTGTTTTATTAAGCAAAGACAGAATTATTGTGCACGTAATAAATACCTTCTTGTCCTATGTATTTTGTGTTTATAAAAACTATCCTAGGTAAATGTTTTTATTTTATATTAATAAAAGACCATAAAAACAGGCAGTAAGTCTTTTTTTAACGATCTAAATAAATAGAAATGCATGTTTTGTTACCCACAAAAATGCATGATCAAACATTTCTTGCCTTAGCTAATAAACAAATCTTCAAGCAGCCTAAAATTAACATAATGAAGGCCTCTTTATATCTCGCATACAAGTAGAAGTAATTCAATTTCTTCGTTCATTTGAACGACGGGCCCGGCATGGCCAGGTGGTTAGGGCGCTCGACTCGCAATCTGAGGGTCGCGGGTTCGAATCCCCGTCCTACCAAACATGCTCGCCCTTTCAGCCGTGTGGGCGTTATAATGTGACGGTCAATCCCACTATTCGTTGATAAAAAAGTAGCCCAAGAGTTGGCGGTGGGTGGTGATGACTAGCTGCCTTCCCTCTAGTCTTATACTGCTAAAATAGAGACGGCTAGCGCAGATAGCCCTCGTGTAGCTTTGCACGAAATTCAAAAAACAAACAAACAAACAAACACTTGAACGACACCATAAACATGCACTGGGCTTAACGACAAGGTCAGATACTCCTATACTTTACTATAGGCGTTCTCATTTTTAAACTATGAACCAAATAGAAGGCCACAACCTGACAGCCCCACCGCCTAAAGCGGCTACTTTTAACTAGATGAAGGGATTGACTGTCACTCTTATAACGCACCCACAAGTGAAACTACGACTCATGTTTGGAAACACCAAGTTTCAAACACACGAAATCCTCGCATCTCCAGTCCAATTCGCTAACCGCTAGGCTACACTCGGGTCAACTGGAAACAAAAAAACTTTCAAAATATGGGGTGATACTCCTTTATATGACTGGCAGCGAATTTTGAAGATAATCAATTGAAGATTTTAAAATAATAAACATTAAAAAGCAATAAATGATAATAAAAATATCAAAATAATAACAGAACGTATATGACTAGAAATATGGCCTGGTGGTTTGGGAGCTCGACTCGCAATCTGAGGGTCGCGGGTTCGAATCCCCGTCGTTCTGAAACCTGCTCACACGTTGTCCGAACTAGGACGCTAGTTCTACTCCCAGAATTTGGAGGTGTGAGAACACCATACGAAAAAAAAAATTAGAGATATGAATTGAAAGCTTCAGTAATAAGTATTATTTCTCATGTAATAATCTCTAAATTGCCCATACGGTGTATTCATTAAGATACATTACTTTACGCAAGAAAGTTAAACAAATGAAATGACATTTTATTTTTTTCGTTTGAAGAAACTATTTTAATATATAAATTCTGAGCGTTCTTCAAATAACGAGCATTCTAACCTCCATCAAGTGCTTTATCTTAACGCCAAGTGTTAGCATGAAATCAATAAGTGAGAAAATTAAGGCGCTGTCTGTTAACACTTTGAGGACGAGCGGGTACATCACCAATAAGAAAAAGCTGCAAAGTAATTAAAGTAAACTACGCCTACTAGTGCTATAAAAAAGGTATAATGCAAGATGCTATTACCAGATGGCAGCATCCGTCGCATGGAGAGTCCACTGACAATCGAACTAACTAAAACAGGTTTGTAGAGAAGAAACAAACATATTAAGAAAAGCATTGTCATTCCATTAGATAGTATTAGAATTATTTCCCACGACTGTTTTAATTCTTTACACTAAACTAAAACAAGAAAACAATTTTAAAAGTTGTTTTCTGTCTTGTTGCGTTTAGTTCAAGGTTGTCAGAATGGTAGAGAACAAGTTCGCGATCTTTGAAAACTTGATTATTTCCAACTATTTAATAGCCCATCAAACATGTGTTGTTTCGTGATTCAACACATGTTGTTGTATAAACACATACTGAGATAAATTTAATTTATTGAACAGGCAACAAAGCATAAAATAAGTTCACTATGGTCACCGGGTGGCGATTTTTCTACAATAGCTTAGCTTCATATTTTATATTTTTAATTAACGCATTTTGTTAAAAAAATCTAATTTAGCACGCTAACAAATAATAGAGGCACCTTTGAATTTTCTACCCAATAGAGCAGGTGATTTAAAGATGCGGGACTCTCGAGAAAGATTGACTTGTGCTGCGGTGAGTATCACCTATAAAGTGATGTCCTTCAGTTCATAAGTAGTAAAAAGGTCAACTCGTATCATGTGAATAAAATAAGCATAAGTACTTGTTATCAAATCTTGTCTCGAGCCTTTAAAATACTAGCGTGAAAACAGCCATATTAACCATCCAAACATTTTTACTGAGAAATTGAAAGGTGTGATGGAATGAAAAATTCACAACCTACATATAATACATATTCCATAAGGAGCATAAAACCTCAATCATACACTGTTGTCGTAAAAAGACAGAAATAAATGAAGAACAGGTTTATATTATTGATTCCATGACTTACAATACAACAGTAAAAAACAAAATACTTTTATGAGGTTACCAAATAATTCATCCTGATACCAATGCTTGCAAAACATTCAACCGACGTTTGAAATACCGCAAAAGGTTTGCATTGTTGGTTACACATTGTCACTTTTTACATACTATCAACATAGTTAAGTGGACATTAACCATGTCGGGTATTTTTATATTATTGTTTTCTTTGATTCGTAAAATATGGGTATTTTATAGCGATTTGTTTAGGACACTTTAAACACGATACAGTCGAAGGAAAATTAACATTTTAGCGGTACTTCGCTTCAAAATTAAGTTCATTTGAATCACGTTTCTACACGTATGAAAAAAAAAAAAAAAATATTAATTTTTTTTGTAAGTTATGCTTCCGATATCTTAGACGTGAAAGTTCTCGTTTAATCGGTTCTATAAAATTGGAAAACTCTAAAGAAAATAATCATTACCTTAATTTATTGATTTTTTTAAGTTTTGTAAGAATTTGTAAATTTTTCATTAAATTAAACTTTATGTCAAAAAAAAATGAAATCCCATGACAAACCATAAAACACATTTTATCTTCGGACGTTTCGGGATTTGCATATTCTATCATAACCAATATGCAATAACATAAGCCAAGAATATGTAAAACTGCAAGATATTAAACGTGCGAAATTACTCAAATTAGCCTCTAATGACACTTGTTTCTTTTTTTTTCAACGATAAAATTTATGATCGAATAGATGACGTGACAATTAGGTCACTCAAGAACCGACCTATACAAACCTGTTTCATTGTTTGAGGCTAGACAGATGTTGTGGAGAATTCATGCCAACGCTTAAATTAAAGGAAGTTAGTGGATGACATTTTTTCCCCCTCCTATTCTTATTTTTTTTCTTGCACCAATGAACCCAGTATATTTCTGTATGGTGTAAACTCTGAACATCCATGTTTAACATTTAACTACGAATATCAAGATAAATTAAAGAGGCCAACATTCGCGGGAGAATACAACATGTCTCCACCACGCAATCTCAACATGGCCAATTTTGAAAAATCGTGAAAAACACAGAAAAATCGAAAACTGTCTATATCATTGCTTGGGACATGCAAGAAAGTATCTTTGTACCAAATCCTATGTAAGTTGGTTTATATACACACGATTAGTTCACGAAAACCCAAAATTGTACTTTCCTCGCTGAAAAATTGAGCAGAAGACAAAAATTCCAAAATTGTCTATATCTCTCTCTCTTTGAGACCTGTAAAGGGTATCTTTGTGCCAAATTCCATGTACATTGGTCGAAAAAAGACTAAGTAATTGACCAAAATCCCTAAAATAATGGGTTTAT